GTAGTTACCCCACCACCACCACCCCACATCACTCCCTCACGCTTCTAGCCCTTACCCCAAACATCACCCAGCTGCTCGGTCCTTCCTCCCCCCTTCCACCATGGCCTGGCTAAATCATGCTCACCCTTCAGAAATTCAGCTCAGATAGTTCCTCCTCCAGAGAGTCTTGTTCGGACTCATGCCCAACCCTAAGCTCCCGGCTCTTCCTCTGCACCACACAGTGGCTTCAATGTGCTGATTTCCGTGTGCTTCCTTAACAGCACACTGGTTACTCCTGTAGCACTGGGGGAGCTGCAGTCTGTATGCTTCAACCCCCCAGTGATTTCCATTGCTCCGCCTGAAGGATCAAAGCCTTGGTATGGCCTGCAGGGCTCTGGGACATGATCCAGTCCTTGCTTCCTCCCCTGCCTCCTCTTGGACCTCTCTCTGTGTGAACCAGCCTTCCAGTTCCTGGACACCATTGTGTACCCCTAGCCTAGGACCTTTGCCCATGCTGTTCCCTCCGTCTGGAGCACACTTCCTCTTTGCTCTCTACTCTGCTCATCTAGGTAACTGCTATTTTTTTTTTTTTTTTTCAAATCTTAGCTCAATTGTCAGTTCCATAAGACAGTCTTCCTGACTCCCCTGAATGGTGTCAAGTTGCGCGCAGTTATCATAGGACCAATTAAAATTGCTTCCGGGCTTTGACTTCAGTTTTTAATGATGCATTCATTCTCGTGACTGTGTAGTTAACGTCTCTCCGGAACATCAGCTCCATCCAGAGTACAAGCCAGTCTGCCCTGCCCACCGTGGTGCCCCAGTGCCTGGCACAAAGCCCGGCACCTAATGGGCACTCGATAAATACTTGTTGAATGAGTGAATGGATATAATTTAACCAAGCTTCTTGATGGTCTCTGAGGCCCTGGGATAGGAACTGGTTGGTGTTTTGTTCTGTATCCAACACTTGGCATGTACCTACACCTGGTCTTGTGTGTGCTTGTGATTGGCTACCAGGCCAGCCCTTTCTTAGGAACCTCCAGTGGAAGTACGCTGTCAGGAGACCTGCGGTATAGACAGAGAAGCTTAACCAAAGGCCTACGTGTATGTAAATTGGGCTCGTATTAGCATGGAATGCCCTCCCCTGTGTTAAAGCAATCCTGAACCCTGTTCCCATTTACAGCTAATGTTCCCTTACTTCTTCAAGGGAAATACTAGGGCTGTGAAGGAGCTCAGAAGGGAAGGGATCAACCCTTCCATCTTAAGCCTGACCTCCTTACCCCACCAATCTGTAAGAAGGATGCAGGTCTTGTTATTCCTGCCAGGGCATGCTGGGCTGGCAGGGACCCACCTCACACCTTCTGATGGAGGAAGGTTTGCCTGGAGAAAGGAGGCACTGTGTCCCTGGTCTCTGTTTCCCTACTCCAGCCTCAGTGGCCTGTAGCAGGTCTGGGGCAGCAGAGTGGCCATGGCTGACTGCCCTGGGCGAGCCGATGAGCATGCTGCACCCACGCCAGTTGTGTGCCACGAGCTCAAGTTCATTTTCCAGAGTTGACAAGAACCTCAGGACTCGGGTGTGGGATGCACTTGACAGTGGTGTTCAGGAGATGCCTTTTACAAGTTCATTAAAGCCTTAATTAAACACCTAAGAGTAATTGTGTATTTTTTTTTATTTTCCCTCCCACTCACACCCCTCCCATCTCCCGCACCCTCTCCCATTCCATTCTCATCAAGATTCACTTTCAATTATCTTTATATACAGAAGATCGATTTAGTATGTATTAAATAAAGATTTCATCAGTTTGCACTCACACAGAAACACAAAGTATAAAATACTGTTTCAGTACTAGTTATAGCATTACTTCACTTTGGACAACACACTAAGGACAGATCCCACATGAGGAGTAAGTACACAGTGACTCCTGTTGTTGACTTAACAATTTGACACTCTTGTTTATGGCGTCAGTAATCTCCCCAGGCTCTAGTCATGAGTTGCCAAGGTTATGGAAGCCTTTTGTGTTCGCCGACTTCGATCTTATTCCTTTATTTTACACTTTGTGTTTCTATGTGGGTGCAAACTGGAAATCTTTACTTAATATATGCTAAATTGATCTTCTGTATATAAAAATAATTGAAAATTAATCTTGATGTGAATGGAAGGGGAGAGGGAGTGGGAGAGGGGAGGGTTGTGGGTGGGAGGGAAGTTATGGGGGGGGGGAAGCTATTGTAATCCATAAGCTGTACTTTGGAAATTTATGTTCATTAAATAAAATAAAATTAAAAAAAAAAAGTTCATGAAAGCCAAGTAATGAATATTTAGGGATTTGGCTGGGAGTTTGAAATCAACCCTGGTGAGAGTATTTATTCTAGAGAATTCAGCAGATGTTATAAATTAGGGTTATTTCCCTCCCTCGCTCCCTGCTTCCCCCCCCATACACATACATGTGCTTGTGCATGCGTGTGCACACACACACACACACACACTCATTCTCTCTAGCTGGTTTACAAGCACATTGCCAGACTTGGATTTGAATACTGGTTGGGTCCTCACTGGCATATTACTCATTCTCTCATGGCATCAGTTTCCCTGTCTGTGACATGGCGCTCACTGACAGTCACTACAGCATGGGTCTCTAGGTTTTGCATGCTGACCCTCGGAACCCACTGAACCTGCCTCTGAAGACTTACAGGAGTTCGGTACGCACTAGCTTGGTTATCGCCATGCGTTTTCCCTGTTGTTAGTTTTGCCAGTCAGCTGTGCGGCTGGTTTAAAACGAACAGACACGGTTTCTAACGTATGGTAGTATTTTAGCAGCACTTGAAAAATGCCATTTCTCGGGACAGGTTGATTTTTTTCCATCATCACTCATTGCAAGGATGCTCTCTTATTTGCTTAGGTACTGACCCCAAGTCACTGAGAATAACCTGTCCCCAGGCTTCAACAGCCTCTGCTCAGTGCCTGCCCCTCGTGGAATGCTGCAGATGACCTGGAAATCTTGAAAATAAAAGGAAATGGAAAGCAAGGCTGGAATCCCTATCCCAGGATTCTAAAGTGCAAACAGGTCTGACACTGGAAGTTCTTTCCTAACTCAGATGGTGGCAAAATTGACCCAGAGTCCTGAGACGATTCCAAGTCCTCATCCCACTTCGTGCTGGTGTTTATAAAACCTAGCAGGAGCAGACTTGCCTTCATGTTTGAGTCTGGACTGGTGTCCCAGACTCCAATGGAAACCTTTCTAAAAATCTCCAGGATTCCTGATTCTGAAACATAGCTCGCCTAAGGCCTTTGGGTAAGAGACTGTGGACTGGGGTTAGGACTCAGTTTCTCCCCATCTGGAGGTTACATCGGGCCACACCAGACTCCATGCACCCTGCTTCAGATGAGAAGGACAGAGGTGCTTGAACCATGTGCGGGGTGCGGAGGCTGCTGATGGCCACCAGACAGCTTAGTTCCAGTCTTCACTCTCACACTCCTCACTGAAGAGGAGGCAGACACACACACCCGTCCCCAGGGGTCCAGCAGGTATCCTTAATTTCTTCCCTTGATTCCGAGTCTTTCATTCTCTGTCATCTGGCTTGTGCAGCCCCAACACGCTTCCCTCCCCAGAGCATCATCTGATTAGAGCTAAGGAATTCGTTTCTGAGCTTGGACAAAACAGCATCCTTGCAAAGAGGAAAGCCAGAGTGCTGTCTGGCACAGCTGCCTACTCTGCTGGCCTTGGCTCTGTCTGAACTTGAATGGGGCGCCCTGGTCCAGAGCTTCCCGCAAGCTCTGAGCCATCCTGAAGATCTGCACACGTCTTCAACGGAAACATCCGTCCTGCAGACCGATGCATGAAAGCGCCAGGGCTTCGAGCCAAATGCAAAGCGATTCTGCAGGGACTCCTGCAGCCCTCGCAGCCCTCCCTGGAACCCTGTCATAGTGGTGTGTCTCCAGCAGTCCTTTAAATCTGTCGCGCATGTTACAATCTCCAGAACAGGCACCGCTAGGACCTTCCTTTCTCAAAGTCAGCCAGCCTTCCAGCTCACAAGAACATGGTTTCTTTGCTGGGTCTTTATTTTTCTTCCCTCTTAAATGAGAACATTTACGTTCTCCAAAGTCAGTCTTTTGCAACATGTGTTTCTTATTTCATTTCAAAATGCCAAGGGCTTGCTTTACCTATGTCCAGAGCAGACTACAGGAGGACAACGTCCCAAGGAGGACAGTGTCTCACGGCAGGGGAACCGTTGCGAGTTCTTCCCCAGAGCAGCTGTGCGTTTCCGCTGGCTTCATTGTCACACAAGGTGACCCAGCATCGGATGAGCCCGGCTTGGCCCTCGTCATAGCAGTCACTGGCCAGTGCTGATGAAGGTTCTGGTGAGGCCAGAGACCTCTCGGGGATGTGTGGAGCATCCTACTTGAGCCAGAGTTAGAAACGCCATGGGAAATGGGGGCGGGGGGTCCCCACAGCCCGTGAGTCAGGCCTGGACTGTGGTTTCCACTGGGTCCTTAAGGCCTCATGTGACCAGGAAAGTCACATAAGCGATCCCCGGTCACCTCGTTTGTGACATGCGGCTGTGAAGAGTCTAGACCTCGTGGTCACAGGGCCACGAGGAAGGAACAGAGTGAGGCCTGGGAGCACCCTGCATGGCCTGAGAGCCGGGCTTTGCTACAGTGCTTCATCAGGGCTTGGTGCTGGCAGGCCGATTGTGTCCCTTGTTGCAGAACTGAGGGTTTCACAGTAGTAACCAAGCGTGTGTCGGGGGCGGCTGCGTAGACCCCACGCTAGGTGCCGTGTGGTTTTGCCTCTGCTATTCCTCAGTCCCTTGGGCTGCATGGACTCCCCTTTCTATCCGAGAGAGCTGTGACAGAGACAGGCCGAACAGCTTAGCAAAGCAAACCCACAGCTGAGCCCAGAATAACAGCGGCGGTTCCAAGACAGCCGTCTCTTGTGTCGCCCCTCTGGTCAGAGGCTTCATTGCCAAGGGGCCCTGGCTCACTCAAAGGATTAAGAAGCAAAAGAGAGAGAGAGAAAAAAACTCACATTTTTGCCAGACAGATGATATCCAGGCGTCTCTGGAAGAATAGTCCGCATTCCCCGAACAGGGTTTTGTGTTTTAAGGCGCCTGGATACTGCAGAGGAATGTAAACCCCATGGAGCTCACTCCACATCTCAGAATCTGGTCTGGATCTGGACAGGAGGCCGTAGGGGCCCTGCCATGTAGAGAGCGCTACATCCTGCAGAGGCATCCAGTACCCTGCAGGGGGTAGGCGACAGGGCAGGGCCAGGGTTTGCCAAGGGCCCCAGTGGGTGTCACAGTCGAGGGGGCAGGTAGAAAGCAGTCGCTAGTCCCAGCGTCAGCCTTCTGGGACCCAATATTTGCATGGCCTGCATTGGGACTGTTTAAAACTTTTTTTTTTTTAACATTCTTTCTTTTTAAGGGCTTTGGCTATTTTTAGAGGTTTTTTGGCACTTGCTGCCTCTCTTTGATCCCTGGTGAACCAGTCCAAAAGGCACCATTCCCCCTCTGCACTCTGCTGAGGATGCTCGGGGTGCAGGGGCCACGTGGTTGCCTTCCACACACAGGTCCACACACAGTCCAGCTGTTGGTTGGGGGAGGGGGTTGGTGGGTTTCATGTGCAGAAAATGGAGCAAGAAAACATCACCAAAGGCCCTGGGAAGTGACCAGCGTTTGATAAGGGAGGAAAGAGCTGGGGAGTGAGTGGAAAGCTTGTATCCCAGGGGCCAAGCTAAGAGATAGGTCTGTAGTGCCGGCAGAGGGTACGCACTGCAGTCAAGGTAACACTGACCAGGAAACAAACGGGCCAGGCAGGCAGTGATAGGCAGGCGGCACGCTCACTTGCCAGTGAGGGGCGGTGGAGTCTGCACTGGCCTTGGCAGGTGGCTGCGGGCGTGGCCAGCTTTCATGGCTCCCTCCTTCCTTCCTTTCCTCACTGACCTTTCAAAGCCATTCATATCCTTCAGCATCCACCGCTCCCCTTCATGCTTTAGAGATCAAAGAGCCATTAGGCTGGACAAGGTTCAAAGACCGGGGTGAGGGGGGATTTTAAGCGATTGGCCCTGGGAAGCAGGTTAAGCAACAAGCAGGCGGGGCGCCGGCAGGCTGACCTCTCTTTCCTTCTTGGTGCTGCCATCTTTCTGCACATAACCCCTCTTGACAGTCGGGCATCCTGCGTTCCCGGCTCCCCCCGGGCTTTGTCAGGCGCAAGGGGCTCTTCAGGAATTCCATAAATCTGGACCTTCGGACACGCCCGCGGCGCGGGCCGCAGGTTCCCTGGTGCTCTCACGGCACCGTGTTCTGGAGCCCGTCCTGGCGTGGGAAGCTGGTCTTGAGATCTTTCAGAACAGGAACAGGCAGGCGTTGCTTTTCGGAACTGTCCAAGGAGTCGGTTGTTGGGCTGTGAAACTCTGTGCCCTGGAGGGATTCAATCTGCAGGAGGTGGTCAGGACACGCAGGAGACCCCCCCTGCTCCCCTGTCCTCCATCTCCGACCTCAGTGGGCTCTGCCCTAATGTGCGTGCCTGCTGACGGCGTGTCTTCACTCCGCACCCACAGCCGTCTCGGGGCCCTTGCTGGTCTTGTCTTGCTCACGTTGTAGGGTCAGCAGTGTTCCTCGTGCCATCTTTTTGCTATCAGTGGATATTGTGTCCATCGTGGGCATTTTTCTTGTCCATTTTCAATTGGGTTTTTGAGCAATATTGCATTAAAGTCATATTTCTCTCGACGGCTTGGTCGAGTTTTTCCTCTGGCCCTGGTCCCGGCGCTCTGATTTGGCTGACTTCTCTGAGGCCTGCTGTTCCAGTCCTGCCTCCAGTGAAGGTTATCTAATGGCGTGCTTATCATCAGTCAGCCCGCAGCCAACACCAGTCCAGTCCCCTGCCAGCTCCTGTCTCGCCTTCTGCGGTAGCCCCCTCTCTTGTTCTTGGCTCCTTCCCATCACAGAACCAGAGGAATCTTTTTAAAACCTGTATCAGATCGGTCACTTAAAGCCTTCCATGCTTCCTGCTTCCACAAAATAACTAAAATCCAGACCTTCAGCTGTGCCCGTAGGACCCTGCATGTTGCTGCCTCGCCTCCCCCCACTCCCTCCCTCTGCCAGTGCCCTGCAGCCCACCCCATCTTCCCTTGAATCCTACGTCTGCTGTGGCCTCCTCCACGCGGCTGCCTGCCTACACAGTGTTCCCTTCCCTGGCAGTGCCCACAGGCTGCCTCCTACTCACATTTAGTGGCAGCTGACGTGCACCTACCCAGAGGTCCTGCTGGCTCCTCATCTGCGTTCAGTGGCCACTGCACCCGCACTGTGCTCTTTCCCTCCCCACCATGCATAGTTAATTGCATGCGTGCGCATCCACCTGCATCCTTGCTCCCTGTAAGCTCCTGGACGACAGAGCCGGGTTTCTTCACCCCCTCTCCCTGACTCTCCAGCAATGGCAGTACAGAGGGTCGCCCACACACTTGTTGAGTGAATGAAGGAGGGAGAGAATGAGTGAACAACTGGATTTTCAGTTGCAAAATCTTGACCTGAAGACTCTGACCCACAGGGGGGGACTTCCAGTCTGCCCTCTGTTGTAACGAACTTTGCTCTTTTAAAGCAAGTGTTTTTCCCTTAGATTATTTTTATAGAAAAAAGCAAAGCAAATATAGAGATAATTATTGATTCTCACTCATCAACTCCCTGTCCCCTATCACCGCCATCCTCCTGAAAGCCTGCTGCAGAATTCCTGGGAACCACAGGAAATAAATCCACTAACCACTTGAAATACTCTTGTAAAAATAGACCGGACTTGACCTTCTTCCTGTCGAAGGGCCTCTCTCCTCGGGCCAGACACTGCTGGGAAATCGTATCTGCTCTCAGGAGCCTTCGCCTTCAATCTCTCTCCCAGCAGGATTTAGCTGGACTCCCTCCGAATCCTGTTCTCAGATCGTCCCCCTACTGGGTGGGTCATCATTGAGCAACCTGCCCATTTATTACTTCCATGCCGTTGTTTTTATATTAAAGTGATACGATGGCCAGACAGAAATGAAGGCTGGGGCCCAGGTGGGGGTGGGGTGGGGCTGCTGGGATGTCCCAGAAGGGGCAGCTTTCTCCTACCCAGGAGTGACATCGTTTTCAGACCTCAGTTCGGGTGCGCCGACCGTCATCTTCCTACCAGACTCCTTGCTTTTCATTTTGTTTAAATGAATGACAGGCAGTTTTCCTGAAATGTGACTGCCTTATTTCAAGGAAGCTGTGTCTCTCTGGCATAACTGCAAAAGTTTCCCGTAAATAGGAGGCAGTCCTGAAGGCAAACACAGACATAATGACAATTATCAAGGCAATGGCCTTGACTTCTGCTTGGCTGCTGCTTCCTGCCTGCTGAGCCCTTTGGTTCAAAGAGGGGAGAGCAGTTCCCCTGAAAACACCACGGGCCCACGCCACAGCGTTCTTGAGTAACCGAAATGACCCAAAGGGACGTAAGTCTCCTGTGCAGTGTTTTGGAAAGCTGTACCTTAGCCTCTCTGGGAAATCCTCTTCTCTCAGCAGGGGCGCATGCCCCACACTTTAGCAAAGGTGAATATTTAGGATCTATAGTTTTCCATGGGAACTTCAGAAAGTTCATGGAACAGTGGGAAGAGGTAATTGTATTGTGGTGCAAAAAAAAAAAATTGAAATCCACACATAATTTTTTCGCAATACTCATTTTCCATGAAATTTTTGAAGCTCATTCAACAAATGAGTGAGAGATGCCCATCCACCTAGAAACTCTTAGATGTGAGAAAATGGGAGAAAAATTAGAAAGTATGGCTATGACATATCCACTTGCAATGACTGTATAGTATTCCACATGGACGTGCAAAGCTGTGCCAACGAATTCTTCACTGTTGGGCATTTAGGCTGCTTATTGTTTGTTGCTATTGTAAGCAAAACTGCTGTAGACATCTCTGTACACTATCCCGTTACTTCATCAGGAGGAAATTTTGGAAATGCATGACCGGGGGAAGTCGCATGTATGTTGTTGAAGTTTTTACTGAACTTTTTCAGAAAGGTTGTGTGGGCTTAAGTTCCATTTTGTGCTCCTTAAGTTATCTGTGCTTCTTTCCTGGTGGACACATCTGCTTTTCAAGGAAGAGGAGAAATTAACAGCTGCGGGCTTTGGGTTCAGAGTCCTCTTGTGAACTGGTCTGACCTTCCTGTCTGCCCCGTGCCGCGGTGTTCGTGTTTGTAGAACCTGTTTGTAGAATCCCCTCTAAGTGTATGTGTGCCCCTCTTATGTGCTCTTCTCAGAAGTTCTTGAAAAGGAGACCACGTGGACGTTTGGTTCAGTGGTTAAAATACAGATGCCCACATCTCGTATTGCAGCGCCTGGGTTTAAGTCCCTGCTGCACTTCCGATCCAGCTTCCTGCTAATGTGACCCCGTGGAGGCAGCAGGTGATGGCTCAAGTACTTGGGTTCCTGCCACCCACCCAGGAGACCTGGATTGAGTTCTGGGCTCCTGACTTCAAACTGTTTCGGCTGTTGCAGGCATTTGAGGGGTGAACCAGCAGATAGAAGATAGCTCTTTCTGGGTCACTGTACCTTTCAAATGAATGAAAACAAATAAATAACTCCCACTCATTCACTGGAGGACTCTCCAGCCTGGCACGGAACATAATGTATTGAAAAGAGTGAACACTTGCTGAAACAAGAATCCAGTTAGTCTCCCAGATGGGCCCAGTGAGCCTTGGCCCAGCAGTGGAAAACAGGGCAGACAGTCAAGAATTCTTGCTCTCTTAGCTCTGCAAATTGTATCTTGCCTTGTGTTTAATACACAAGGTAGGGGCTGGTGCTGCGCCTAGGGGCTGGGGCCACCGCCTGCAGTGCTGGCATCCCAAATGGATGCCGGTTCGAGTCCCGGCTGCTCCACTTCCGATCCAGCTCTCTGCTATGACCTGGGAAAGCAGTAAAAGATGGCCCAAGTGCTTGGGCCCTGCACCCATGTGGGAGACTCAGAAGAAGTTCCTGGCTCCTGGCTTCAGATGTTGTGGCCATCTGGGGAGTGAACCAGTGGATGGAAGATTTCTCTCTCTGCCTCTGCCTCTCTGTAACTCTGCCTTTCAAATAAAAAAAAATCTTTTTTTTTTTTTAAATCAAGTTGAGGGGAACAGATAGTTCCGAGAGTTATATTTTAAAATTAAATTAAATCAAATCAAACACAAGGCAGCCAGGATCCTGCGCGTGAACTCTGCTGTGGCTCAGACCCTGTGCCGCTGAGTAGAAACGGGACTGTAGACGAGTTGCTTAGCCTGCTGTGTCTCCTCCCTCATCTGCTCAGTATCTACTTGGAGAGGGGCTGTGAAGGTCCAGTTTAACAGCATCACGTAAGGCGGGAGCCGTGTGGCACCCAGCACGTGACCAGCTCCCCACACAGTGCTTTGGAAGTTCACAGGATCATCCAGCCCCCCTCCTGCCTCTGGGCTCTGGAGCTGCCAGCTCCCGCGTCCTGCGCGGTGCTGAGGACTGGGCCTGCTCGGCTCTCTCTAGAAACCTGCTGACTCCACCTTTCCACCAAGGAGGGGAAAACAGTCATTTTGGTTACAGCCCTTCCTTTCATGTCTCTTTGTAACAAAGAGTTTGCCGAGTAATTAACCAGACGGGGTAAGGCTCACCAGGTGCTCCCCGGGTTGATGGCGCATTGCTGCGTGGAGCTATATAATTTGCACTTTTCCTTTTGATTTTCTTATGCCTTTCTCATTCAATTATACCCAGCTCAAGGTAAGAGCTGAGTATCCTCAGAGAGCCTTCATGGCTCAGACCAGAGACTCTGGACTGAGGGAGTCTCACTGTAGCTCTGTGCTTAGTTGCTTTGTGACTTCTCTCTACCTTGGTGTTCCCATCCATGGAATGGGAATAATAACAATCGCTCCTAGGGTGGCTGGCAGGATTAAGTGAAGGAACTCATGTCAAGCACCAGGCACACACTAGGGTCTCAGCCACTGTCGCTTCTGTCATCATCTTTCTCAGTCCCCCTGCTGTCAGTTGCACTCAGCGCAGGCCTGAGCCCTCCGGGGTCAGTTCAGCCACTGTCACCCTACATGAATACAGTGATTGCAGTGGGTCCCCTGCTACTTGCACCAGAGGTTGGAATCAACCATCTTCACTTTTCTGCACAAGAAAGTGGACTGGATGGTTTTACTGCACCTGACGTGGGCGTTCCCGGGAGCAGACCTGAGCCTGCCCTCCCAGCCCCTCCCCCTGCACTGCATCTCGTATCCCCAGGCAAGGACGTTATATGGGATCCTCGGATTTCTTCCTCAGAGAGGTGCCCACCTGCATGGCAATCAGGGGAGGCGCCTCCCAGCATGGGCACTGATTCCAGGGGCCTGCCTCGGGGCCGGCACCTATGTGTCCTACAGCTCCAAGGGAGAGGGAGAAGCCCAGCTTGTGGCCCCCTTTTCCCTACGTCAAGACAGAGGCGTGGCTCGGCCTGCAAGGGAAGAGTGAGCCTGGTTATTTTTCAGAGTCCCTGAAATGTCTCCAAGTCTGCCCTCCTTGTTTGCTTTCAGAGCAGCGGCCCAGAGGACACTGCCCATTTTGCTGTGTTTGTTTTTTCTCTTTCTTTCCATTACTCATATTTCCTTTACTGAATTATTGTTTGCTGCTCTGCCGGGGCGGGGGGGAGGGGAGAAGAAAATAAAACAGAGGGTGCGGGGCCAGGAGTGCAGGCTGCGGGTCCTTCCCAGCAGTGCCGAGCCAGGTGCTCAGCCGGCCTGACTCCTCCTTGCTCCAGCGCTCTGCTGTGCTGAGCTGGAGGCAGTGCAGGGAGAGGCCCGGATGTCTCAGAGCTGAGGTGGAAGGTGGTTCTGAAGCGTGAACAAGGGCCTGATTCCAGCAACACGGCCATGCTGGGAGGAAGCCAGGCCTCCAGGGAGAGGACGGCGCGACTCGGAGCTGCGACGCGACCCTGGTGCGTTCCAGTCGTGCTCTCGCGTGTTCCTCGGCGCGTCTGTCCCCACCCGTTCTGAGCGCACATTCATTCACCAGACAGGTATTTAAGGAGACCCTTCTGTGTGACAGACACGACGCCCTTAGTGGAG